TTATAACTCGCAGTTGTGAGTTTATATCACGCAACTCTGTGAAAAAAGGTCAGAATTGTGAGATGAAAAAAAACGTTAATTAAACTCACCCACCATTAGCAGGTCGTTTTGGATCCTATTAAATCATAAATAAATGCAATTTTGGATATCCTGCTCTACTGTCGACACCTTTTCTGTTGCACTTTCGGGCGAGGAGGTTCACATCTCACAGTTTTGTAATCTCATCCCATTAGAAAGTATGTGATTGGCACACAACTGTTAGGCAGAGTTGTGTGTGTGTCATCTGGTCACTCACTGTGTGTGTGTGTTCCTCAGGACGTCCGTGTGTATAATGAGGAGGTGGAGTTGGAGGCCAGGGACCCGCAGCAGGACTACATGCTGTATAAGGACACGTGTGCCGCTCTGGCCAAACTGATGGCGGAAATCCAGGAGCTGAAAGCCGGCGGCGCGAAAGTCGGAGTGAGTTTCACATTTGCTATGTGAAAGAAAATGGAGGTGAATGAATGAAGCTGACATTAGTTTTTTGCGTCCTAGAGCGTGGAGATCGAGGAGAGACGCACACAGTGCAGCGTTCATTTCATTACCCTGAAGAAACTCAACCGCCTGGCGCACATGCGACTGAAGAAAGGCCGAGACCAGACACATGAGGTGAACACACAGACACACACACACACACACACACACCAGTTCTACATTGAACACTAGTGAACTTCATACTCCAGTATGCACGCTTTTTAAAACACTACATAAAGCAATATACAACAATAAACATTTAAAACAGTAGGATGCTACATTGTTCTCACATTTTTTTTATTATGCTCGGCTTTTAAAATATTTAATCTGCTAGAATTCTAGAAATCATGGAATTTTATTTATTTGTTTGTTTGTTAGTTTATTAGAAAATCAGATTATATTGCATGTTTAATTTAGTTTTAATGATTTTATGTGCTTTTGTCATTTTTATTATTATTTTTTTAAATAATTTTTATTTAGCTTTAATTTATTTGAGTTAGTTGTTTTAATTTTAGTACTTCAACTTATTTTGTCAGTTACTTGCCAAGGTAACAGCTCTAATTTTCATTCAATTTTTTTGTTTTAAGTTTTTCATATATATATATATATATATATATATATACTGTATTGTGTTTTTTTTCAGCTTGAAGTCAATTAACGATTAAAGTAATTTGTTAAATAGTTGTAGTTAACAATATTAACACTTGACCATTTTTCATATCCAAATTTGTATTCTGTGCATTGTATACATACAATGTATAGTGCAGAAATAGCAAATGTAATATGCCATACCATGTTTTATTTTAATTTGTGTCCGGATTTCTGTTTAACATGTTTGGTAAATGATTGTTTCAACCAACAATATTTGTCTGTCTGCAGGCAAAGCAGCGAGTGGATGTTCTTCATTTGCAGCTGCAGAATCTGTTGTATGAGGTCATGCACCTGCAGAAAGAGATCGGCAAATGTCTCGAGTTCAGGTGAGTTTTACAATGCATTTCCAAACCTTGAAATGTCATGGAAATGGACATTTCTAGAGTGAATAAACATTTTTCTAATCAGGCTCAGCTATAAAAATATGTAATCTGCTAGAATACTATTGAATTATTATTGTTCTTTGTTTCAGGTCTCAGCATGAGGAGATTGAGTTGGTCAGTGAAGAGGAGTTTTTTCAGGAGGCTCCGGCTGAGATCTCACGCCCTCATGTCACCCGCGATGACCAACACCAGCTCACGCTCGCCCGCCTGGACTGGGAACTAGAGCAGAGGAAGAGGTAACACACACCAACAACTCTCTATTAGCCTCTAAATCCTGGAGATGTTAAGATGTTGTTGTTCCATGCTGCAGGTTGGCGGAGCAGTATAAGATGTCTCTGGCTAGAAAGGAGAAGATCCAGAAAGCCATTGAGCAGAAGAGAGAATATCTGAGCAGCCTTCAACCTGGACTGCAAAACATCATGCAGGTGAAGCGCTAGATTGGCACAAATACACTACTGGTCAGATGTGCTCATCAAGGCTGCATTTATTTGAATAAAAAGTAAAAAGTCATATTTTTTTTAATATTATTGCATTTTAAAATAACTGTTTTCTATTTGAATATAATTTAAAATGTAATTTATTTCTGTGATCAAAGCTGAATTTTCAGCATCATTACTCCAGTCATCAGTGTCACATGATCCTTCAGAAATCATTTGAATATGCTGATTTGCTGCTCAAGAAACATTTCTAATTAATGTTGAAAATAGTTGTGCCGCTTAATCTTTTTGTGTAAACGGTGATACACAACCGTTCAAAAGTTTGGAGTAAGTAAGATTTAAAGAAAAAAAAAAAAAGAATAATATTTTTATTCCGCAGGGATGCATTTTATTAATCAAAAGTGACTATAAAGACATTTATAATGTAATAAAAGATTTTTAATAAATTCTGCTCTGTTGAACTTTCTATTTATTGATGAATCCTGAAAAAATGTGTTTTACGAAAATATTAATCAGCAAAAACTGTTTTCAATATTGATAACAGTATGAAATGTTTCTTGAGCAGCAAATCAGAATATTATATTAATCATGTGACATTGAAGACTGGAGTAATGATGCTGAAAATTCAGCTTTGCATCACTGGAATAAATTACATTTAATATATATATTCAAAAAAAAAAATTGTAATTTGTAATAATATTTCACAATATTACTGTTTTCACTGTATTTTTGAAGAAAAAAAAGAATGCAGCCTTAGTGAGCAGAAAAGACTTCTTTAAAAAAAATAAATAAATAAAATTCTTTATTATTACAATCTTTTGACCTGTAGTGCTGTGCAGTTATGCCAAGTTCACACTACAGGATTTTAAGCCCGATTTGCAAGTTAACGAGCTCGCCGACAAGTCAGGGGGAAAATCAGCGGGTGATCAGAGCTCACCAATCTTTATGTGTGAACTACTCAACAATGCATCAAAGAAGCTCACCGACGCCAAACAAATATCTAGCATGCTAAATATCTGGACCGGTCGGCCGACTCAACATCCCGTGGTGTCAGGTGTCATGACGAGCTACAGCCAATGAGAGAGCAAGGCATGGGTTGAGGTCAGAGGAAGAAAAACGAGATGGTCCTCACTGCAGAACACAAGATCCAGGGGGCGTGGTTGGAACCAGATCCAACTCCTACCGCCTTACATATACCTAAACCCACCCATCTCCACCCCTAAACCTACCAGTCTCCACCCCCTAGATGTGGATCCAACCACGCCCCCTGGATCTTGTGTTCTACAGTGAGGGGCTACTGAGAAAAACAGCAGCAGCAACACGGCTTTAAGAAAAGTGTGGACACAATAAATTTTTCAGAACAGATCATTCCCAACAGATTTCCATTTTCAAATAAACCGCTTCTGTTTCACTTGTTTCATGTAATGCGAACACCACAACGACTTTAAGACAGACATCAAGTCATGTAGTCTGAACAGCACAGCGATCTGCTGACGTGTAAAGTCGTGTAGTGTGAACTAGGCTTTAGACAGGAAGAGACTGACTGACGGATCTCTCTCTCTTGTGCAGGCGTCTCTCCCAGTGCAGGAGTATCTGGCGATACCGTTTGAGCACATGCAGAAGCAGGCCGAGGTCTCCCGTCACCTGCCGCCCCCTCTGTACGTGCTGTTGGTCCAGGCGGGTGCGTACGGACAGGCTTGCGGTAAGACTCGCATCTTGATTCTCAGCGGCGCCTGCATTCCTGATGAATCCTGGTTTATGAGATCATGCAATTATGCGTTTCAGACAAAAACCTGTCTGTGAGCATCAGTGGAGATGTGGATGAGGCCAAAGCTCTCTCCAGACCCCCGGAGGACTCGCAAGGTACCTCTGTGTGTTCGCTTTGAGTCGGACGAGAGCGTGATCCGTAGGGCTGTCAAAATGGCTGAAAAACTAAATTTGAATTTTGTACTTAAATATTATCAAAATTCGAATTATATTCGAATTTAAAATGCATAATTTCAGTTAGGGTGAAGAAAAGCTTTTGGCTTCTCTCCTGAGGCCACAAGAGGGCGCATCGAGCAAAATATTACTAATGCAC